GCCAGACACTTTTTTTTTAAAGTAGATTCAAGAAAACATGGTTGTTTCTAACTAGGGTTAAAGTTTAGCTTTCTATATTAATTCATTGTTGGACCACAGATCTGCTAAAGTAAAGAACTATAATCCCAACCTAAACTTTTCTGAGATTTTACAATAATTAGATCTTTTCCCAGGTTAATTTGGATTTTCTCTTCTCCCATTCACAGGAGGTTTTTGTCATCAAAACACATTGATATTTTGTTGGGTTATTTTCCTTTACAGTGTTTAATGTGCATCATGCCAGAGTTATTTTTTTATGATTCATTTTCTCTGTTTTTGTTCAATATGAATGAGATTCAGGATCATATTTGTTTAAAGGGTAACACATATAGATGTACATATGTATTTTGTTACAAGACATACGAAATAATTTTAAGAGGGATAAAGGTGAAAATATCAGATTCTGGAAATTTTAAGTATCTTAAACTTTATAATTCTTACATGATCTACCATAAACATACCAAAACATTTTTCTGAAAAGTTACTATATGTTTCTGACATGAAACCATATTTTGTCAGTAGTTGACCAAGCAGTTTTTTGAGAACTGTTCTATGCAATAATGCATTTAACTTGTAAAATAAATGTTGAATTATAAAAAAAAAAAATTGAAGATGAGATGCCTTAGAATTTTAACAAAAAATGGCACTCGAACAAAGGCTACGTGTTGAATGATATAAACTCTTGAGACATCACAGATTTTAACAGTGGCCCACAGTAAGGTAATGCTTTGTGACAGGTGTCTACTAATAGACTTGTTATTTTGGGCCTCACATAAAATGTCTCACATTCGTATTCTTAGAGAATTTTATACTTTTTTATTATAAGTATTTTGCCCTTCAGTCCATAAAACTTAAATAGAAAATATTGCTTATACAATAATTAGCCTAAAATCTATCCAAAGGAAAAAAGAGCTTTTTTGAGTGTTTTTTAATTTAATTCTCTGTTTGGAAAAGATGTTCAGAGTTCAGATATGCTTCTTATATAATAGAAATGCCATTATTTCTGGGATTTAGTGGCATAGGCTGAAGAGGGCAAAAGTTTCCTGTGCTGAAGGATTTTTCAATTGACCTTGACCCATGTTGGGTACATAGAAAGACACCATCTGCATAGCCAGCAGTATTACTACATAGACCTTGCACATCTTACTTTTGTTTTGCATTTTTTTAAATTTCTTGATTTGTTTATTTCTCTTCAGAAACAGCATTTTTAACAGTGTATGTGCTTTTTTAAAAAGTATTGTGAATGGAAACCCTGTGGATTTATTTTTTATTTCGTCCGTTTGTCATAAATAAGCTAAAGTAGACATGTTGTAGGTTAACCATATCTGTGGAAATATGCAACTAAAAATCAGAGCCTGATACCACATAGTTTTGCCAAAGGGAGAGAGCTAAGCTGGAAGATGTGTTTGATATTTTCAGCTCTGAACATTAATGGATGCTTGCATAGAGTAAGATAGTGTTCAAATTTAGTTAATAGTAGATGGCCTCTGACTGACTAACCCTCTTCACATAACAGTACAGAAGTCCTTGTTGTTTTTCTGTCTTTAAAATTTATTCATCCAAAAAATTAGTCATTGCTTAAGATTATTTTAGCATTTCAAGCAAATTTAAAAAGTCAATTAAAATAGTGTAGGTGAATTTTTTTATCTATAATTCACCAAATATCTCATAATTCAAAAAAATATGTCACTAAAATATGTTAAATATTTAGGTAGTTCATTTGTGGGAAGATGAATCTTCTTATTAAGCCTGCCCTCAACTGTAAATAAGTGATTCAAAAGCCCAAAATGTTCATCAGCATTAAGTTCAGTTGTTTCGCCCTTAGCCAAGAACTCATTAGAAATTTAGTTATCACTTAAATTTAAGCCCGTTTATGAGAAGCATAATGATTGGCATGTTATATGGCCTGTTGTAGTAGTACCTACTAGCCAATTTGAGGCAATCTCATTTAACAATTTATTTGAACATGGAGGATTATTTTTCATATGGAAGTAAAATGTCAGCTTTAAAATTACAACTCTAAAAATAACTACAGAATGACCTTCCAGAGCACTATTTTTGGCCTCATGCCCCCTCTATTCAGGCTTTGCTTGTTTTTCAGAATATGATTTTTTACCTCCAGACAGACGGTAAGAATTGAACAAGAACTGATCAAACACACCTTCCTATTTTGTTTTCTTCACTATGTAAATATTATTTGGGTAAACATTACAAAAAGGAATCCAAACAATTTGAGTTTAAGTATTTTTTTCTTTCTAGGCATGTGCTTCAATGACAAATAATTTTTCTGTGTGGAAAATGCCATATAACTATTGCACTACCTTCTGTGTGGACTCTGTTGGTATTGGATCTTTCTGTATATCAAGAGTCAGGGTGTTTACAACTGCAAAGTTTGTATAAGTGGCTTTATTCCTCTTCTAGAAGATTTATGAGGAGCCTAAGGGGCACTATTTATTGGTACAGGAGGAAAAAAAGAATGGAAAGCATGTTTACAGACTCTAGCTTCCTTATTAGCTTAAACTGGGGTCCTTGAGGAGCAGCCTGTTGATCTGTTTTTGGCCAAGTGACTTGAGCATAAGTCTTTTATTTCTTTCTGAGGTTAATTCATAGCTCTATACCTTTACTACTGAAAACAAAACTATAGGGCATCATACTAATTGAAAATCAATAGTAATAGGCTTAAGCCATTGGCCTTTTAAGTTAGTATATCTAGTATTGGTATCCTTCCTGTTTTTTTGAGGCACATTCCTTTCCAACCAGTTTTTAAACCACCACATAATCATCTTCTGCAAACAAGGGGTACCAGTGTTGCCTAACAGAAGGTAATCTTTAATAAAGTAAATCCTCTGCTTCAAAGCCTTTTGAAATAATTGGATCCCTTTTTGACAATGAAGATGAATTTAACTGTGTCCAGGTGGAATAATAGTACTGCTGTTGCATGAATAGATGATATAAAGCAAGTGATGAGGTTGGTCTGACTTCTTTGGTGACCTTTTAGGGTTTGCTTTTATTTTCCCTCTCTTTTTTATATTATTTCTTTCAAAATAGTAAATATATTATTTTACAGCCCGAGCGGTATTCTGTTTTTTTCTAAGCTTTGAGATACAAATGTTGCTTTTTAATCACATTGATGATATACTACTTTCCATGTGAACCTTTTCAGAATGATTTAAGTACCTTTGATTTTGATCCCCTAAAAATGGCTTGTGTCTAAAATGACATTTTGTTCCCCCTATTTTTTGAAGGGTTCTAATGAAAGAGATCCATGCATAAAAACTCTTTTGCTTATTGTAAACAATTTGATTACACCTTTGTCTTAAGTTATAGTGTGGGGAAAATTTGGTCAGTGCCTTATTATTTGAAGAGCAATTTTAGGGCATCAAATATGACAATAATCATGTGCCCTCTTGCTCCTCTTATTTCAAGAGTGTGTGCTATCCCTCTCTCCACCAGCTTAGTCTTTGTCACCCCAAGTCTAACAAAGTCATTGCAGAAACCTCTGTAGGTAATTGTTGCAGTCCTCCTTGGTTTTTGAGTCTCTTTAAACAAGCTCCCTCCCTGCTTCTATCCTTTTAGAGTAGGAGACTAAAAATAAACCCACCTGAATCAACCTCAGATACACACTCTTAAAAACAAATTTGAAGAGCACTATTCAGTCAAGTTCATTTTTATTTTGTTGTTGATGTTTTGAGCATACATTTAAGGCCTTTTGAAAAAGCCCTAAAATAATAAAATACAACCAGTAATACTTGTTTCGGTTTTGTTAAATGTACTGAAATCTTGTAATGAAAATCCCTTTGTCCAGCAATGAGATTTATTTCCATTTATTTTTATATTTAAGTAACACCCAGAACAAACAAGTAGTCACTTAACCTGCCAGTTATTATTTTCTTGAAAATATGCAAGAAAGTAAAAATATTTCTAATATGTAAATTAAAGGGAAATTAAGAGACTAAACTAGTTTTCTCAGTGAAAGCAAAGATTGGCGATATTTTGCTTCTCTCAGATTGTTGGAAGACCTGGAGTTACTGGATGTTAACCTGAGTCAAGATGTTCTTTTCCCATTTTTTTAAAAGGGCTAGTATGTTCCAGAGTAGGCAAGTAGACACAGTCATTCAGGCCAAATGAAACAGTTAACTGGTCCTTGAGGATTATTAGCAAAATTTAAATTTTGACCCTGGCCATTTGTACTACAGAAGTGATGGTGGGATTAAAAGGATACATAATTAGAGTGTTTTGGGATGGGGCTCTTTTTTTCTTAATAGAAAAGCAAAAACTCCATAATTATTCACTGTGCTTTAGATACCAGATAACAAATACTGTTTCCCTGAAGATATCACCTACTAGAACTATTCACATATATAGTCCAATAATTGCTGACTTAATAGGTATGGTGAAACAGCTAATAATAAGTCAGCAGGCTCTCAAGAGTTTCTGTACCTTGACTGACAAATTCATTGTTTTACATCCTACTGAAGTACATGTGTGTGGGGAGGGGGTGGAGAACTGGTTGACAACATAATCTAAAGGAGATCAAACATCTGTAGGGACAGGTACCCAATGATAATAATATATCTGAAAACACAAGCCGTTTTTATTCTTTAATCCCAATTAACTTTGAGGTACTCTAATGATGAAACAGTCGACTGCACTATGACCTCCTTGAGTGATGTGCAGCTTGGTTCCTCTCTCACTTTTTGTTTCTGTTTAATATGCAAATGTGAGTGTGTGATCTTCAGTGTGTCTGCATAAGCTAACTTAAAATGAATTTAAATACAGTTTTCTGAAATATTTCTATTGAAATAAATTACTTAAAATTATAGATTGTGTGAGGATGTTTTTGTTACTGTATTTGCATTTTTATCAACTTTTTTAAGGTGCAAATAAACTTTTAAGCTGATTTTTTCCCCCTTTCTAAAGTAATCAACAAGGCTATTGTTGATACAGCGAAAGCTCTGAAAAAAACTTTGGTTGCTCTTCTCTAGCCCAAGACAAGAATGTGCTACCTGGCATGCGGACAAATGAGGTTGTGGGGAATAGAGAGTAAGGGCATAATATTTCCAACTATATCTCCCACTCTGAGCATGTGATACGATAGGATTAGTCCCCAAAGACACTCTCTTTGCTCCTACATAACATTTATTTCTTTTTACCATTTCTGAAAACAATCCATCTTCCAGCCCAAGGAGCTTTAAATTGGAAGAAGTACAGAAATACCTGTTTTGAGTCTCCTTTAGGTTATTGGCTGGGTGTTGATTATGCCCTAAGAATTCCACATTAGCTTAGCCTCTAAATGGTTTAGGAACCCCCAGCCAGGACAAGCCCAATATTTTGGCAAACCATAATTCAGTTTTCAGTAGTTTTCTCACATCTATAGTGGCCTTTGAAATTTCTCACTGTCCCTTTACTTGAACCAAAAGAGGAGAATGACACTTCTTTGATGGGGTCAACCTGTCTTCATGTCGTACCACCTTTGTCATACATCGGTTTCCTACATATGCAGAATTTCCTAGTCCCCTTTCCTATTTCAACACCATATTGTCTCCATTACTGTATAGCTGTATAAGTTGATATCTGGTGAGGTAATTTTATGTTCATCAAAATTACCTTAGCTATTCTTGACTTTGTCTTTGCTGTAAATTCTGAGATCACTTTTTCTGTGTTCCGTGAAAACACTGTTGTTATTTTTATTGGAATTACTTTGGATTTATAGGTTAATTTGAGAACAGTTTTGAAAATTTTACTCCCTTTATCTGTAAACATGAAATGTGTCTCCTTTTATTTAGGGCTTTTTATGTCCTTCAGTAATGTTTTACAGTTTTCTCCCTAGTAGTCTCTTGCATTTTTTATTAGTTTATGTCTAGGTAAATTAGTTTTTCTACTATGAATATGACTTTTTCGTTACATTTTCTCATTGATTATTGTGTATAGGAATGCTGTTGGCCTTTATGTTGATCCTTCCATCTAGCAACCTTGTTGAACTCTCTTACCTAGTTCTAATGGTTTGTCCGAGGTCTGTTGGAAGTATATTAGTACCAAATAAGAATGGCTGTTTCTTCCTTTCCAACCATTGTACCTTTTTTTTTTTCTTGTCTTATCCTTACTTGGCTAGGACTCCAGTACAATATTGGATTAGAAGCAGTGGTAGGATGCCAAAGAACTTAATTACCCAGGCTCCTCAGAAAACCTCAGAATATAACACAGCCCTCGAATGAACGCTAAGCATGTTATAGTATAGCCCAAGTATAATCTTTATTGTATTTTTTAGGCCAGCTAATCATCAACTTAAATTTCTGCTTTGTTTTTTGTAAAGTATGTTTATATTCTTAGGCAGAAAATAAGTGGCCATTTGCTCTCAGCCACTACTTACAGTCAAAACTAAATAAAATAGTGGGTCACAGGGCTATTGCAAAATTTAGAGTATCTGTGTGTTATTAAGTTTCTTACTCTATGTCACTGATTCTCAACTGGAAGCGATTTTGTCCCCTAGGAGATAGTTGTCAGAGTCTAGAGCCATTTTTGGTTGTCACAACTGGGAGAGGGTTCTTCTGGCATCTGGTAGGTAGAGAGGTAAGGGATGCTGCTAAACATCCTACGGCGTACAGGCCAGCCCCCTCAACAAAGAACTGTCTGTTCCAAAATGGCAATAATGCCAAGCTGCTGAAATCCTGCTCTATGTGAGTGACTTATTATATCTCATAAGTTGAGTATATTGAGATTGATTGTAGGAAAGAGTTGTTTGTTTTGGCAAGGGACTTTAATTCTTCCCTGGAAGTTGATCTTTTTTTTTTTTTTTTTTGTGGTGGGATGGTCTTGCTCTGTCACCCAGGTTAGAATCCACTGGTGCAATCTCGGCTCACTGCAATCTTCACCTCCCAGGTTCAAGCGATTCTCCTGCCTCAGCCTCCTGAGTAGCCAGGATTACAGGCGCCCACCACCATGCCCAGCTAATTTTTGTATTTTTGGTAGAGGTGGGGTTTCACCATCTTGACCAGACTGGTCTCAAACTCCTGACCTCATGATCCACCCACCTCAGCCTCCCAAAGTACTGGTATTATACCCATGAGCCACTGTCTCCAGCCAGAAGTTAACCTTTCTTAAAGAAGTTTAGCCTGCTGGCCAGAGGCAATGACTTAACAGCTTGGGAATATATTCATGGCCTGGACCATAGTCTGTTATTCTTCAAGTATTTGTTGAGTTAAAAGCTACATGTTTCAACCTAAGGTAGACTCGTGGGGGACATTCTAAATGAGCACAGGCCTGCAGAAATGTTTGTCTACCTCTGTATGGTTATTCTAAATCTGAAAGGATAACCCCAATAGCAGTAGGACAAAATAGGCTATCAATACATCAGGCTGGATTATTTATTTAACTAATCTGAGCTTTAATTAAACCAGAGCTATTTTTGTTATTGGAACAGTATTATATCCATATTATAAAAAGTTCAATTACAGAAAACTATAAACAATGCATGTCCCGCCTGTCAAATTCCCATCTCCAACTGCAATAATAACATTTATCTTTGACTCAATTCCTGTAATCCTAGCCTAGTTTCTTTCAGTCTCAAGTTCTGAAGATTTTTTATTTTTCACCTCCCTCAAACCTTTGCTCAACCCAAGACGTTTACATATACTCTAATATTGTCAGAGCAAAAAGCATAAAAATAACAGTCCTTACTCCACATAGACCTGTGATGCATTGGTCACATTATTTTTTATTTGATCAAACTAGCTTTAAAAATGATTATAAGAGAGTACTATGGACAAAATATGCCAACAAATTGAATAACCTAGAAAGTGGACAAATTTCTAGAAGCTTGAAACCTACCAAGACTAAATCATAAAGAACATCTGAATAGACCTGTAACTAGTAAAGATCAGTAATCAGAAACCTCCCAGAAAAGATCCTGAACCTGGTGGTTTCACCGGTGAATGATACCAAACATTTAAAAACAAACTAATATCAATCCTCAGATTTTTCCAAAAACTAAAGCTGAGGGAACACTTCCTAATTCATTCTATGAGGCTAGCATTGTCCTGATACCAAAGTCAGGCACAGACACTACAAGAAAACTACAGACCAATATTTATTATGAGCAGTTTATGCAGAAATCCTCAACAAAACACTAATATGTTCAGCAACATATTACAAAGATTATATACATGACTGAGTGGGATTTATTCCTGAAATGCAAGGATGGTTCAACATGAAAATCAGTGTAATACACCATATTAACTGAATGAAGACAAAAATCTCAATTGATGAAGAAAAAGCATTTGACAAAATTCAACACCCTTTCATGACAAATAATAAGCTAATAGACTCTACCTCAACATAATAAAAGCCATATATGGAAAACCCACAGAAAGTACACTGAATGGTGAAAGACTGAAAGCTTTTCCTCTGAGATCAAGAGCAAGGCAAGAATGTACATTTCCACCACTTCTATCCAGCCTCGTACTGGAAGTTCTAGCCAAAATTGGAAAGGAACAGATAAAATTATCTCTGTTCACAGATGATATGATTGTGTAGAAAACCCTAAAGGTTACACACAGACTATTAGAACAAATAAATGAATCCAGCAAAGTAGCAGGATACAAAGTCAACACAAAAATCAGTCACATTTCTATATGCTAACAGTGAGCAATCTGAAAATGACACAGTTCCATTTACAAAAGCATCAAGAATAAAATGGAAACTAACTTAACCAAGGAGGTGAAAGATTTGTGCAATGAAAACTATAAAACATGGCTGAAAAAAAATTAAAGACAAATGAAACATAGCCCCTGCTCCTGGATTGAAAAACAATATTGTTAAAATGTGACTACTACCCAAATCAATATATAGATTCAATGCAATCCCTATTATAGTACTTTTTTACAGAAATAGAAAATCCCATTCTAAAATTAATATGGAATCTCAAGGGACCCCTAATAACCAAAACATCTTGAAAAATAACAAAGCTGGAAGACTTTTTTCCTGATTTGAAAACTTACTTATAAATGGATTCATTTATTTGTTCTAATAGTCTGTGTGTAACCTTTAGGGTTTTCTACACAATCATATCATCTGTGAACAGAGATAATTTTATCTGTTCCTTTCCAATTTTGGCTAGAATAAAGCTACAGTAATCAAAGCACTGTGGTACTAGCATAAAAACAAACCAGCAGGATAGAGAGCCCAGAAATAAAACGTATATGGTCAAGTGAGATTTGACAGGATGCCAAGGTATCCACAAGGAAAGGAATCTTTTCAGATGGCACTAGGGAACTGTATATCCACATGCAAAAGGATGAAGTTGGATCCTCACCTAACACTGTATACAAAAATTAACTCAAAATGAATCAAAGACCTTAAGACCTAAGCCTGTAAGTCTTAATGACGATAACATAGGTCAAAAGCTTCACACCACTGAATTTGGCAGTGATTTCACAGATGTGACACTAATGGCACAGGCAACAAAGGGAAAAACAAATGGACTTAATGGAAATTTATGATGTGTGTCAAAAGACAATATAAACAGAAGGCAACCCACAGAATGGGAGAAAGCATATGCAAATTTTCTATCTGATAAGGGATTAATATCCAGAATGAATCAAGAACTGAAACTCAGCAGTGTAATTCAGAAATGGGCAAAGGACTTGAATACACATTTCTCTGAAGAAGATTGCCAATAAATACATGTAAAAAAATGCTTAATAAATAAGTATGTGGTGAGGATATGGAGAAATGTAAAGACCTGATTGGATTGTTAAAGGTAAAGCTACAAAGACAGCAAAAGGAAATCTCTGTGAACCTGAACAGGAAAGAAATTAAATTCCTCAAAGCCCTTCTATAAATACAAAAAACAGTTTCTGTTCAGCTGACAACACAAAGTTAACAGACTGGTGACAATTTGGAAGAAAATTTCTGGAGTTTATAAGAGCCAAAGATTAATGTCGAGAAGATAACAGGACATATTTGCTAAATATATTCAGTAGAAAACTGGGCTAAAGGACATGCATAGACAATTTATAAAGAGAAGTCTAAACCATGAAAAAAATGCTCAACCTCACTAGTAGAGAAAAGTGCAAGCTGAGAGCTGTCATGTTTAGCTCTCAAATTGAGGAAAAATAGCCAGGTAATACCGGTTGTGGTATGGGGGAACTGGAACCCTCATGCACTCAGGTGAGGGTATAAATTGGTAAGGTGCATGCCAAAGAACATCTGGGCGTTATTAGGGAAATCATGTATGTGTATAGAGCACAGGAATAAGGATTCTGATCCTGGAATTGAGCTGCCTGGGTTCAAACACTGGCTCTGTCACTTAACTAGCTGCATGACCTGGAGCAGGTGACTTAACTTGGTCTCTCAGTTTCCTCATCAGTGAAATATGCAGTGTCAGAACCCTTGTCATAGAGTTGTTGTAAGGCTAATCTAGCTGGTAAATCTCAAGCCCTAGAGCAGGGCTAGCACATAGGAAACACTTGGTCAGTGTGAGGAAGGGTTAGCCTCATTGTTACACACCCTGTAACCTCCTAGCTGCTCTTGGAATCAGGTACTGGGAGTGAGATTAGGAATGAAGGGGAAATTTTAATTGGAACAGTTACAGAACAGTCATAAAACTAGTCACAAGTGTCAGGTCTTTGCATGCAGTTACCTATGAATTAAGTCGCAGTGAACTAAGGAGTGTCTTCACCTGTAAACCGAATATAGAAATAAACTAGGCATATTCCTTATGGACAAACTGGCAAGGAGAGAAAAGCATGAAGAAAAGCCACCTGTAAAACAAATTCCCATTTGTTATTGTTTGGGTTTTTTGGGAGGTTTTTTGTTTGTTTTTGTTTTTGTTTTGAAACAGTCTTGCTCTGTCGCCCAGGCTGCAGTGCAGTGGCGCTATCTCGGCTCACTGAAACCTCCATCTCCCAGGTTCATGCAATTCTCATGCCTCAGCCTCCCCAGTAGCTGGGATTACAGGTGCACGATACCACGCCTGACTAATTTTTTGCACTTTTGGTAGAGACAGGGTTTCACCATGTTGGCCAGGCTGGTGTCAAACTCATGGACTCAAGTGATCCACTTGCCTCAGCCTCCCAAAGTGTTGGAATTACACGTAGGAGCCACCACACCGGCCTTGTTTTGTTTTGTTTTGTTTTGTTTTGTTTTGTTTTGTTTTGTTTTGTTTTGTTTTGTTTTGTTTTGTTTTTAATTAAGACTGGGACTTGCCCTCTTGCCCAGACTGGTCTTGGCCTCAAGTAACCCTCCTGCCTTGGCCTTCCAAAGTGCCAGGATTACACACATGGGCCACTGCACCCAGCCTATTGTTGATTATTAAGAGGAGTATTTCAGCCACATAAGTTAGATCACTGCAGGGCCTTGTATAAAATGCAGACTTCTGAATGCCCTCCCACCAGCCAAATCAGAATCTGAGGCCAGGGCCTGGTGCACAGTAAAATTTGCACCTGATTTGCCCACAGCCCAAGTTAAACCAGAAGTAACAGTTGGCTGAATTTGCTTTATTATTGCCTGATTGTCAGACCCAAGCTTTTCATCCAGTTTAAGTTCAGAAACCGTTGGCATCTGTTTTAAGCTGTTGTGGGAAAAAGACAAGCAGGCTGTCGTTTTTATTTCAAAAAACTATTCTGAGATTTTAATGTGAAAAATGGACATTTTTTAATTGAGTGTAGAAGAGAAACCTGGAGATTTGTAGGCAATTAACAATAGATGCAATCAACGAACACCCTGCCAAGCCATTAAGTTCTCTAGTAGCCATGTTTTATGACTTTATGTAACCTAAACTATGTTTTAACAAATCTTTACCACGCAAACATGGGGTTAGAATTTCCATTTTAAAAGAGAAATGACTACCCTTTTGAGTGTGGTTGTATCTCCCTGGATCTTTGAGTTAGCCTAAGAAAATATCCAGAGTGGCCTGGTGCAATTTGAATTGAGACCTGTGATTCTAGACTAACTTGCATTAACTCCTAGTTAATATAAGTGTTAAAATATAAGGAGTTATTATTTACTTATATAATTTACTTATTATATAAGTTATTATAAGTAAATTATATAGTTATTATAAGTAAATAATAACTCCTAGTTCATTCCAAATCAAAATAGTGTACTGCACTTGAGTAACACATTCTGTGTGTGCTTCCTCGCCTTTACTTAAAACTGATTCCCCTCTTGAAGGACTCATTTTGCCTCTTATGTCCTCTCCAGTTCACTATAGCCCCTACCACTGCCTATAATCCTTTTTTTTTGAAACAGAGTTTTGCTCTTGTGGCCCAGGCAATTGTGCAATGGCGCAATCTCGGCTCACTGCAGCCTCCACCTCCTGGGTTCAAGTGATTCTTGTGCCTCAGCCTCTTGAGTAGCTAGGATTACAGGCATGCACCACAACACACAGCTGATTTATATTTTTAGTAGAGATGAGGTTTCACCATGTTGGCCAGGCTGGTTGCAAACTCCTGACCTCAGATGATCCACTCGCCTCAGCCTCCCAATGTGCTGGGATTACAGGCATGAGCCACCTCACCCAGCCCCTACAGTCTTTTGACTGATGTTTCTTTACTAACTGAGGTAGTTAAATGATGCCTGGAACTGGGCCTCCTGTCTTATGACCAAGAGAGAAGCTGACCTGAGAGCAAAGCTGGTCCTCAGAGAGCAGAAGGGAAAGATGGAAAGAACCGAGGCCCATAATGATTTTCCTGTGCTGCTGAGCTAACCCTACAAAAGCCTTACTTCTGGACTTTTAAGAAAGAGAAAAAAGAAAAAATGGGACAAGGATGGGAAACAAGAAAAAAAAGGAAAGGAGAAAAGGAAAGGAGAGTAGAGAGGGAGGAAAGAGAAAAGGAGGGAAAAAGGAAAAAGGGGGAAAAAAGCCAGCCACCTTTAAGAATTTTTATATGTGCTGGTAAGGAATGATATAGCTTAAAAAAGTAGATTTCTGCTTGTGTAGCCCAATTTATTAATTTTTAAAACTATAATCAGATGGTATTGATCAGTGGTCTCAAGAGAGAGAAACGCCTATTTCTTGTGTTATTTTTATTAAAGCAGAGAACAAATGGGACCCTCACAGTCCATATACCCCCAAACCAAACCAGGGTTCCCTGACAAAGCAAAGCAGTGTCCTTCCATCTCCGAGGGTCCTGAGCCGCCTCTGCCCCAAGCCCCACCAGCAGCAGCTCTGCTGGAGAAGGAACATTGTGTTCCTTTATTTTGGTAAACCAGACCCAGGGCCCCACTGGTTCTCAAGTCAGCTGTGGGGCTGACACGCTGCCTCTTGGGGTCAGTTTGGTCCCCTCAGCAGACCTTGAGGAAGCAGCCACGTCCTCTGCTGCCTTGGGGCCCTGTCTTCCATTCGTTAACAGTACCAGCTTCTTCAGAGACTCTGGAATGTCATAAACATTAAAGCCAGATTGTTTCCCTCTTTGCTTTTGTTTTGATGTGTTTTAAAATAATTAGGCTTTTACTCTCAAGTATTTTCATTCTCCATCACTGACTGAGGGGCAGCTCTCACACCACACCGAGGCTAGCATGCTACTATGGTATCCAGTAAACAGTTGGCAAACAAAGCCAAAAGTTCTGTTTGGCCAAAGCCAATATCAAGTTCTCTTTTGTACTTGTTGTTCTTCTATCTGCCCTGAGCTATGTAATAGCTGTCAAAATATGTCACCCCTTGCACCTCCGTGCAGGGTTTAAGAAAAGCAGCTCCTTGGACTTTTGCCAGTGACTTCCTTACAACATCTTAATTATCCATTTTTTGCTTAGCAAGTCAGTCTAGAAAGAACTGCTTCTTGCTTTTACTCTTGGAAAGTGAATACTTGGGAATGTTCAGTGAAAACCAGTATGTGCTGAACTGCTCTAGGTTCTGGGGAAGTGGAGGGGAACTCACAGTTAGCAGGTAGTGTCCCCTGAGGTCCCTGGAAAGAAGCAACACACTGCCCTGTCCAGTGGCAACTGCCTCCCCATCACCCAGTCTCTGAATCTAGAGCCCAGACTCATCTTAAGCAAAGGCAACCGAGCAGCTGTGCTCCTGTTCACCCTACTTCAGCTCCTCACTGCACTCCTACCAATACCATTCTAACCTTGCAATGTATTTTATGAAAGTAAGCCAGTTTGATTCATCATATAGTGATTGGTTCTAATGTCTTGGGTTCTAAGCTTTTTTTATACATAGTATCTCCTTTTTTTTTTTTTTTTTTTTGAGGAGTATCACTCTTGTACCCCAGGATGGAATGCAGTGGCTCAATCTCAGCTCACTGCAACCTCCGCCTCCCAGGTTCAAGTGATTCTTCTGCCTCAGCTTCTCAAGAAGCTGGAACTACAGGTGCGTGCCACTATGCCCAGCTAATTTTTGTATTTTTAGTAGAGAAGGGGTTTCACCATGTTGGCCAGGATGGTCTCCATCTCTTGACCTCGTGATCCGCCCGCCTCAGCCTCCCAAAGTGCTGGGATTACAGGCGTGAGCCACCGCGCCCAGCCTATACATAATATCTAATTTATTCTTTATAACAACCCTATACAGAAGAAATACTTCTTCATGTATTACAACCAGAAAATTTGGAGAGGTTAAAGAATTTGCCCACAGCCACCCAGTAAGGAGGTAGAGCCAGGATTCAAACGCTGGTCTCATTCTCAGCCCTGGTGGACACTGGCTTTCAGAGCTATAACTTGAATTTTGGTGCTCAGAACCAGCTGCACAAAAGCTCAGCAAATGGCTTTGTGATTTATTATGAAACTCAAAGAAAGAACAACCCAGCAGCTTCTTACTTTAATTTTCCTTGCTAATGACAGTTTCCAGCTGAAGAAATCCTTGAGCTGTCAACTTGTAAATATAACTTTTTTTTCCAATGTCTGTTCCTGGGGCAGAGCTTCCCAGTAGGCCTTGCACTGTGCTGCATCTGGTCCCTGGAGTTTTACAGCCTCGCTACAAACACATAACAGAGTGGTGAACACAAGCAATCCTGAGTTGCATAAATGCACTGGATGCCCATGCTAGACTAGGAAAGTTCTTCCTATTCAGGAGGAACACTTTGGCCCTGAGAGGCCAGGGGAGGCCGAGGGGAATAGGAGAGGTTCATGGGTAGGTAGGATTTAGGACCACGGGAGAACAATTGCAAGCAAGAACTGGAAGTATACAGTTGAGGCTGGGAAGAGCTCACATTGAGAAGTGGCAACACACACAGGTGGAAAAGTAGGTTGGAGCCAAATTGCTCTGGACTTTTAAGTGCCAGAAGAAGTTGGAGGATGGAAGCTGGGAGACCAGGCAGGAAATAGTTATGCTCCAGGGGAGAGAGAGAGCAGGGGTCTGTCCCAAAGTGGGAGCACAGGTAAGAAAAGAGTGAGATATTTCGAAGGAAGAAGGCTCCTCTGTCTCCTGTGCCCAGGAGCCCTGCCCTCTGCGAGGCAGTGGGACTGGTAATGCTGATTAACTGATCTGCCAGTGGATGCATTGGGCCTCACTGAAGACACGGCACCCTTGGAGAGGAGTGGGACTCTGGCCCCCATCCCTCCATGTTCAACTGCCCACATCACTCAACTCTTCCTGTCCACCCTCATCTGCAAAAACAGCATGAGAAAGCTCCTGCTTCCTAAGTTTATTGTGACGTTGAGTAAGGAAGATGCAAAGCACAAGGCCTAGCACTTCTAAGGACTCAGCAGATGGGAACCGCCAGCATGAATATTCTGCACCATTGGTCACCTGGGACCTGCTATTCAGAGTGGCTATTCTCCTCTTTCTCTGTCAAACGTTAGACACTGGCAGACAACTGAAGGTGAAATCAAGCAAGTTTGAAGTGTGGTCTCTCTCTGGGGCTCCTTATCAGGTAAGCTGGACATAAGCAAACTTCCTAACAAAAGAGCCATAAGTTGTTTGATTCTGAAGGCAAAGCATGATTTCAGAGTTTCTTATTCTACAAATTGTACAGACAGACTTTTCTTCCTTCTTTGTGTTTACACTATGATATCTTGGAGCCAAGCTATAGCAGAGCCCCTGAATGGGAATTTAGGATGGATGCTTTTGGACCCCTTCCATAGAGGTCAAGTCCTGGGAATACTGGAAGGGCCTTCACACGAGAGCTCTATCCCATTCCCTTATGTCCTGGACTTAGAAAGAGAGGAGGAACTAACATTTAACTAGCTCAATACATGCCGGATGTGTGCTGTGGATTTGACACATCATGTTATGTAACCCTCACACCAGCCCCATGAGATAGAGGTTGCTATCCGCATTGTTATAAATGAGGAAATAGCCTTGGTTGAAGGGTCTTGCCCAAACTCACACATCTGGCCATCATTGCAACCAAAATTCTGCCTCTTGTGCCTCTGGCTGAAGCCCCTTATTTCCTGCACACACTCCTTCTCCCAGGGCTCCTGAGGCCACGTGGTAAGCCTGCTGCTGCTGTTACTGTGAGTTTCCTTTTTCAATGTTTTTGTTTGTTTGTTTGTTTTAAGAGGCGAGGCCTCGATGTGTTGCCCTGGCTGGCTAGAGTTCCATGGCTGTTCACAGGCACGGTTGTAGCTTACTGCAGACTCAAACTCCTAGGCTCAGGCAATCCTCTCGTCTCAGCCTCTCGAGTGGCAGGGACTACAGGTGTGCACCGCCATGCCTAGCCTGTTACCTTGACTTTCCAGTTCAGCAAATTTTTTGTTATAGGGCAATTGAGAGGTTTGTAGTTCCATCATGGTGACTGGCAAAAATGATTACCTGTAACTATATAACTGGAAATAAATTTAAACACGTGCAAACTCTAATTAGCCCCAAATAACATCTTAATAGCAAGTAGAGGACAGAATAAATGGAAGTAAAGCCATAGGACAGAGTACGGAAAGGCATGATAACAGGAGTTTCTTGTCTCTAAGGAAGTAGGATGGGATGGAGAGTCAATTTAATGCAGACAGAAACTGAAGATCAAACAACAGAACATTTTAGCTTCCATTTTAACTGTATTTTACAGTTGGATTTCAAAGAAGATAAATAAATTATATTTGCACCTATCATCTTTTCAAATATCTTTTGCCGGCAAAGTCATTCAGTAGATTGAGTGTCCCTGTGGTCAAGACCTTACCCATGTGATGTGTGGAAGAGGAGAGACGATACCCTGCAGCAGAAGGTCTCATGATCCGAGAGAGGAGAAATGGGAGGAAGGAGCTGTAGAAGAAAGACAAAATACAAACACAGTGACGTGGCCGAGAGTGGGAGCCCTGACAGCTGTGGGTGTGGGGTTGCCACGCAATGATGTTCCATGGCTGGCTGCCTGATCAAGCAGAGCCTCAAAGGGCATCTGTGGCTTGGAACAGGCCTGGGTCCAGATCTGGCCCTTAACTCTCAAGTTTCAGATACTCCATGTTGTAATCAGCTCATACCACGTTGAGCAGGCCTCAAGGAATGGACTCTGGCCAACCAAACTCCCATAGTAGACGGATGGGAAAACCAGCATGCGAGTTGAAGTAATGTACCACCAGAGACACACCTTTCTAATTACTATTCAGAAAAACTGAATTAGCATTTAGAAAATTGCTTGTTAAGCAGGAATCAGGGTAAAAGTCTTCAGGGGAATGTGGCTCAGATTGTGGTAGAGTCTGGACTGTCTTTACCGTTCCCTGACACCCCCGGGGAGACACTAGCTAGATTCTTACTCTTCATCTCTCTTCTTCTGGGCTCCTTACAGACTCATGCCTGTCCACTTTAATTCTCATCAAATAACATGACTTACTATAAGTACCTTGTCATTACTTTTGTAATTTAATCTTCCTCTAATCTTAATGTAGCAAACCATGATATCCTCAGCCATGCATTTGCAAAATCACCCCAAGGGTGGGTTGCATCTGCAAGTGTTGAATCGCAATTATATTGTGTAGATTCTTATGGCTTCGCCTTCAAATCCTGACACCCTTTGACCTTGTCCCCAAATTCCAGAGATGCTATTATCTGTATAGACAACAAATATGGATTCCAGAAGTGCAGGAAGATTCTGGAAGATAAGAGGAACTGAATTCGTATCGGTCTGAAACAGGTTGCACAGAAAAGCTAGTCTCACACCACTCCTCTTTCGTGTCTGATGTGGCATAAGTGTATGGACAGCTCATCCCTAGAGCTCATGGTAACAGAGTTCCTTCTAGCCTGCTTCTGTTGTAGTTAGACTGGGTGGTTTAAACAACAAACATTTATTTCTCACAGTCCTGGAGGCTAAAAAAATCCAACATCAAGATACCAGCAGATTCTGTTTTCGTGAGAGCTCTCTTCTTGGCTTGCAAACAGCCACCTTCCGACTGTGTCCTCATGTGGTGGGGAGAGTGAGCTCTGGTCGCTTCCTCTTAAGACAATAACCCAGTAATGGAGGCCCCACCTTCATGCTCTCATTTAAATTTGCCAGAGGCCCCGCCTCCTAATACCATCAGACTGGGGGATTAAGGGCTTCAGTATATGAATGGCAGGGGCCCATTCAGTCCATAGCAAATGCCCCCACCACGTTCTGCTCTACCAGATATTTTCTATTTAGTGGGGAAAATATAGATAGTTTTCAGTACACATACAACTGTTTTGGTTTTGGGGGCCCAAACGAATGGTGAGACAGAAAATTTGGTTTCTAACCAGCTTATTAAATGAGTTTCAAGTACAGGGTAAAGAAAATTAATGTAACTAAATCTTGGGATATGATTTTACTGAGGACTGTCCAGGGTCTTTTGAGGCCGCAATTAGAGACGAGTCCAGACCTTTCCATTTCTCATCTGCTCTGCTGGACTCCAGAGCGCTGCCTTTCTCCAAAAAGGAAAATTAAAAACACAAATTCTCAAGTGGGTTGATAGTAATTCAGCCCAGCAAATTTTACTTTCCATTAAAAGTCACCAGCTGTCATGTGCTTCGCTTTAAATGGAAATAACTTGCTCTCAAATAACATTTTTCAGTTGATGTCACTTGTGAGTTTTATTTTCTCCTAATGAAAAATGGATTTGCATTAGTGCAACTTTGGTGACAGGAAATCCCTGGATGGAGGCCTGAGCTGGTGACGTGCCCCTGCCCTGGGGAAAGCTAATTACCAGCCAGCATGGAAGACTGACGCTGTGGTCAGGAGGGGCTTTGGGGGAACCAGAAGGGAGGAGTGGTGATAATGGTCTGTCTTCTTTGCAGTGAGAGTCCCTGTGGTTGCTGCTTCCCTTAAAAAAAAAAAAAAGAAAGAAAGAAACATTAAAAATGCTTTTAAGTGTTAAGATTTGGAGAGGCAGTGAATATTTTAACATGCTGAATGTTTTTAAGGGAGGCAGCCTTCCTGAGCCTCTAATACTCCTGTGCTCAGAGCCTGTCACCTCTGAGGCCTCATCCCTACAGAGCTCTGGGCGGAAGAAGCCTCTCTGTGGCCCTCGGCTGTGTTCTGGTACCTCCCAGAATATCTTTTTGGTGGCAATTGGAATGATCTCTTCATGACCCTCAAGAACAAAACAAAGAGAATCTCTAGCCTGAAGCTCCTTGAAGGCTGAACTAGTCCCTTATGGAGTTGTGACTCTATGGCACCTCTCTGGAGAGCCAGGACACTCAGGAGGCTCCTGCAGTGGGCCTTGCACACAGAGGAGGCAGGAGGGCAATATCTAGAACCCTTCGCTTTCCCTCCTGGGAGCCCCTTGACAGAGCAGACAGAGCAGACTCTTCAAGAGTCGTTCCAGCAGGGTCCTGACCCACTGAAAAGAATGAACAGAGAGACCAGAGACACAGGGAGCTAGTGAAACCAGGAAACAGAAGGGAGACGCCAACAGCCACGGCATTCGCAGGCACCAGACTGAAAGCTGGCAGTGTAGTTAAAACCATGTCCTTAAGTGTGCTCTCTTGCCTCTCTGGTCCCCTACATACGTGCACACACATGCACATGCACACACGGGCATCACACACCCCCCTCTGGGGCAGCATCCATGAATATAGCAGCACTCAGACCTGGGGCTATACCCAAGGGCCATCCCAGCCTAGGCAAAGCTTCCCTCCACCCCGTCTCCGTGCTCACAGCAAGGGCTTAGAAGTGTCCAAGAATTTTTGAATAATGTTCTTGACAGACACCAAAGCTTTTTCCTCCTCCAGAGTGTGGAGAGCTGGGGCTGCCCCCAGGGAAGGCTCCCCTGGCAGCTCCTGTCTGAGCAGCTGGGGCCAGCTCCAGGAACACTAAATTCTGGCTGCATTTCCAGCCAAGGCCTGGTTACTTTAGAATCCCTCTCCTCCCCGCTTGTCTTTTCAAGCAGGAGCCAGCCAAGGTATTCGTCATGTTTCCGAGCTGCCCTGCTGCTTGATTTATACGCACAGAGGACTGGGAAGAAGATGCCAGTGGGGGGGTGAAGGCTAGCCTTCCTGGCACCCCAGGGGCCACTGAAAGGGTCCCTGGTTTTTGGATCAACTCTGTTCAGCTCAAGGTCGGGATCATGCGGACCCCACAGCCTCGGGAGCAGAGGAATTGAGATAGGGCGCACTCCAGCTCTCTTGCTCCTGCTGTCTTTTTTGTGTCTCACACTGTGAGATCTTGGCCATAAAAGGAATGAAGCTTTGCTTGCCCTCTCACTGGGCTTCTCCTAAAAGGGCTTTCCGAAAAATTTCCAGCCTTCTCCTCTGGGACACTGGATGTGGTCTCTTTGGCCAAAGAGAAAACAAGTAACAGATGAAGCCCTTGCAGATGAGGAGGCCAAAACTGAAATGTTAATCACCTCAAAATATGCGTGCTGCTCTCTCCAGTGCCTCGCTTGGCTCTCCTCAGAGGATCTTTGATTGGGGATTTTCCCCCTGGGGGTGGGGGATTTGCTGTTAACATTTGGAGCATGTTTGAGGCTCCAACTTGCAGTGACAAGACAATTGTTATTCAGTGTCTAACATGCCTGTTGTGGGGACTCTGAATGGCTGAAATATTGACTGCAGCTCTTGGTTGAACTAATACTCCTACAACACTCCCATAAAAGCTCAAGATGCTGTCATCCAAGATGAATAAAAATGCCTCTTTTTATTCCGCTGCATATGAAAACATGAGATCATTGGAATATATTTAGAGTTAGATTTGGCCGCCTATACATGTTTACAATTCTTGGACTCAAAGCTCTAATGTGAATCGGAGGCACTCTTTTTCCTCCTCGCGTTCTTTTCTTTCTCTAAGAAGGTGAATGCTGATTCCAAGAGTTTATAATTCCTTTTCTTGGTATTACCCAAAGTTCACCTGGAGAGCCTGAGCCTTGACACGTTAATGCAATGATTCAACCACTGACGGGCTCCTCACCATCCATCACTCAAGGCAAAGCCTCCACTGGGCTTGAACAGACTATCCAGAAGTACTGCCTTTTCCTCAGGTCTTTGAATCAGGACCGGGTCTGATTCTACCAGATAGAAGTCTACAATGCCTTAGGGTCAATGACTCTTGCTATCACATAGATGTTGGTTCCTTTCTGAAGGAAAGCACAGACTCCCTTCTCCAGAAGGAAGGCAGCAACAGCAGGGAATCAACACAGAGACTGCCTGTGCACCTCATCTCTAGGGGGCTGATCCTCCATCCTGACTGCATGTACAATCAAGAGGACAGCTTTAAAAACACTGATCTTCTGGGATTTGTGGTCCCAGAGAAGGGACTGGTGGAGAAAGATTAAGAGTTGTCTTTGCATGCTTCTGAGGACTGTCTGGATGCCCTGAAGTAGGCTAACCCCATTTCCTAGGAAACCAGGCATCCAGGGCGGGCAGAATGGCTTCCTTTGGGTGGAAGAGGAAAATTGGCAAGAAGGTCTCAAAGGTCACTTCCCAGCAGTTTGAAGCTGAAGCTGCTGCTGAGAAGGATGCAGTTGACAATGACAAAGGGAACTGGCTTCATGCCATTAAACATAGGAAAGCAATTCTTTTTTTTTTTTTTTTTTTTGAGATGGAGATCCACTATGTTGTCAGGCTGGAATGCAGTGGCCCAATCTTGGCTCACTGAAACCTCCACCTCCTGTGTTCAAGCAATTCTCCTGCCTCAGCCTCCCGAGTAGCTAGGACTACAGGCGCCCACCACCGTGCCCAGCTAATGTTTGTATTTTTAGTAGAGACAGGGTTTCACCATGTTGGCCAGTATAGTCTCTATCTCTTGACCCCGTGATCTGCTTGCCCTGGCCTCCCGAAGTGCCAGGCTTACAGGTGTGAGCCACTGTGCCGGCAATAAATTCTTGAATGCCGTGCTGAGAAGAGTAAACAGCTGAAGGATGAAGGAGCCAGTTTGGCTGAAAATAAAAGATACCAGTAGGCAGTTCAGAAGTGGGATGAAGTACTACAGTTAACTCCAAATCATGCTACCCTATATGAGATGAAATCACAGGTGCTAATGTCTCTGCATGAAATGTTCCCAGCAGTACCTGCAGCAGAAATCAGCGTGCAGCAAAATCCACATTCGTGGGAGTCTTGGCAAACTTTGGGACATGCTCAACTTGGATTAGGAAAGATAATCCTGGCAATTCAAGTAGCCCTTCACATCTATCCAGTGAACCCTGAAATATGGAAAGAAGACCTCTCTTGGGCAAGAACACTCCAGGAGCAGCAGAAGGTAGCCCAGATGATTTTAAAAAAAGTGAAGTACCAGCTGACGTAACACACTTTTCACCCAAGTCAATTCCAGACTATGACTCCAAAAGTGATGAGATTTATTGCTGTTTGTGCGGCTATTGCTGAGAAACAGAAGACAGTTTCAGCAAATAAAACAATGGTTACTGTGTCCACTTCTGGGGCCCTAGAGACTGTAACTGAAGAGGAAGATGGTGCTACACCACCAGATGGCTCTGTTTTTGTCAGAGCCCCATGAAGCAGCATGCGTAAGATTATCTGAATCTGTCTTTTTGATGGCCACTTGAAGTTTTGACACAGAGACATTTACTCTGGAGATAGATAGCAGAACTCCTGGTTGTAAAGTAATTTTTTCAGATGAGGCACATAAAAAGTAAAATGGCAGGATTATTGTATAGTGTTTCGAATATGCTTTAGTAAGTTATGACATATTTCTCAAGGTTAAAATTCTGAGTAAAATTGTTTTTGATTAATAAACAATTTAACCTAAATATGTAAATGATACATTTTAAAGACAAAACTTGAAAAGAATAGTGAATAACTTGGCCACTGTTACTGAAATGCTGTCTCAACTTTTGTTTTATGATAAGGGTGTGATTTCCCTCCCTCTGAGAAATATACTGTTCTTACTATTTACTCTCTTTTTCTTGCTTTATGAGAGTAAGTCTGTCAGAAAGCTTGAATATTTTTGACATTCATTTTGATTCAAAGTTGCCATTTGGTTATATGTGGAATCTTTGAAAATCTGGCTAGAAATGCATGCAGATGTGTACATTCTGAATGTTTGCTGAAGTTTATCTTAATTCTGATTTGTGCTTCTGTTTTGCCTTTGAAGTTATAACAATGATAGATAGTTGTCTCCTTCAGAATTTGTTAGAAGTGTGAAGTTTTGATAAATATGAGAATGATGGTTTTATTTTTTAATTGTTACAGTAAGTAATCCTTACCACAAATGAGTCATTTTTAAAATATGCATTTTTAAATGAATGGCTTTTACAGATAGGTTAATGAAAATTGTACTGCTTTATTATCCCAGTTAAAATCAATACTTTCTTTCTTTTCTTTATTTTACAAAACTTTAAAAACCCTGGCAACAACTTCTTGTGTCTTTCCATCTGATGACTGGGAATTACTTTTCTCAATAACTTTTTTTGAAACTACTCAGTGAAATGAAAAACAATTTCAATTTTAAATAGCTAATTATATCTTTCTAAAAATAAAAAAATAGGGCTATAGAATAGAGTGCCAGTGAGTAAATATCTTAGGCACAAAATACATAGATACTGTCACTGCTAATCTGAACTATTGTTTTTATACTCTATGTTATACCACAGTAATATAGGCCTGTTGGGTTCTGTTGCTTGTGATACTCAGGAAGATATTATTTGTGTAAAATTAATTTTGTCTTTGTTAGAGACGAAAGTAGCCAACTTTATGTTAAAGATCTTACTGTTGGAGCATGTAAGTAATGGTCTACATTTTTATGAAGATGGTTTTTAAAACTTCTGTTTTATTGGAATACATATCTCTTTTCAGAGTTGGAGAAATTAGCACTTGCCTTGAAAAGAATATTCTTTCCCTAAATTATAGTGTCAGAAAATTAGCCCTGGTTAGAGAGGTTCGTTTCAGAGTGCTCCAGAAAATATATTAGTTATTTTGTTTTGTTTCATAAAGAACATAAATAAGTATCTAGAGAGGTGAGTTCTCAACACTTGGCATCTTGTTTTGAGTAATGGAGGTTTGTTTATTGTGTGATTTGTGAATAGTCTTTTCTGGAAAACAAATCAAAAAGCCCTGATGCTGGTCCCCACCTCCAGCGATTCTAACTGTATTGATCTAGGTTACACCTGAGCACCCAAAGCTTTCCAAGGTATTATACTCTATCCTAATTATGTGTTTTGTCCTTTGTTCATTTGTTTTTTGAGACAGAGTTTTACTCTTGTCACCCAGGCTGGAGTGCAATGGCACAATCTCGACTCACTGCAACCTCCGCCTCCTGGGTGCAAGCAATTCTCCTGCCTCAGCCTCCTTAGTAGCTGGGATTACAGGCATGCACCACCGTGCCCAGCTAATTTTTGTATTTTTAGTAAAGACAGGGTTTCACCATTTTGGCCAGGCTGGTCTCAAACTCCTGACGTGAGGTTGTCCACCTGCCTCAGCTTCCCAAAGCACTGGGATTACAGGTGTGAGGCACCACATCCCAGCTCCTGGTTATGCTTTTTAAAATTACATGTGAGGAGAAAAAAGATTTGGAATTAATTGACTATCTCCAAGTAACAGAATTAAGAATTTTTATTCACTTGAGTATTTTTCTGGGTGTCGTGAAAAATTTTTTGCAGCAAAGGATATTGCAATGAAACAAATTAATAGTATAGAGGAAGGGAAATGCCATTTTCCACTTAAAAGGAAGGAAGTTCAGGATACTCAAAATAGAACTCTTCATCTCTCTCCCTAACCTGACTCTCCTCCTGCATCCCCAGTTCTGAAAATAGCACCAGGTTCTCACCAGCCCACATCCCACAGGCACTTCAGCTTCCTACCTTCCCTAAACCCATCCATCCAACTACTTCCTAGTCTCCACAGCAGCTTCCTTCATACTTAAATTTCCTGACTCCTGTTCAGACAAGTGCCACTCCCACTGCCTCTCAGTTTGGGCTTCCACTTCCGACGGGGCTGGGCTGGCTCCTCAGCAGGCTCTCCACCTCCATGTGGGCACTGAAGCTGCGGTGATCTTCCCTCAACCCCACACTGACTCCTGTCACGCGCCTGTTAAAAACCTGTGGTCAGGCTGGGCGCAATGGCTCATGCTTATAATCCTAGCATTTTGGGAGGCCAAGGTGGGCACATTGCCTGAGCCCAGGAGTTCAAGACCAGCCTGGGTAACAAGGTAAAACTCCGTTTTTACTAAAAATACAAAAATAAATTGGCCGGGTGTGGTGCATGCCTAATCTCAGCTACTCAGGAGACTGAGGTATGAGAATTGCTTGAACCCAGGTGGAAGTTGCAGTGAGCCGAGACTGTGCCACTTCATTCCAGCCTGGGTGACAGAGCAAGACTGCCTCCAAAATAAAGAAATACAAATCAAAACTTGCAGTGGCCTCCTCGTTTCCAGAGCAAACTGGAGCAGCTTGCAAGGCTTCCAAGGCCCTGCATGATCCGACCCTGCCCACCTTCACAGGTTCTGGCTTTGCAGCCCTCACCCTGCACCCTTCCACCTGCCACAAGTAACAGCTGGAGGTCCCCACACGCATCCTTTTCTCCCTGACTCAGAGTCGTTACCTGTGCTGCTCCCCTGTTTGGAATGCCTTCTCCATCATGTTGCCCCCCGTCACACCTGCCACCTTACACACTCCTCAACACGTAGTCTCTGGCCTGCTCCTGCATGCTTTCACACCTGTGTCTTTGCTTAGCATTGATTGTTCTTGTCTTTATGTCTGTCTCCCCACTGCTGTTTGACTTCTTTGAGGGTCAGGAGCGTTCTTCTCTGTCTGGGCACTACCCACACTGCCCAGCATCTCCTAGGCATTCAGTAAATGAGTTAAGGAGTGAGTGGATAATATTGATTCTTTACATTCCTGCAGCTCTTTATGATTTTCCTAAGTACTTTCTTATGTGTGTTTGCAGTTGGGTTTTGTGCCCCTGAAATTGCTTTCAACAGTATTGCCTTCACCATCTGCATTCTCACTTGAGGCTGGCAGACAGGAGAGGTGGTGAAAGTGAGGTGCAGCATGACCAGGAGAGGCCCTGCTGCCCAGGTCGCGCAGCTGGTGCTGGAAGACCCAGCAGCCCTCCGTCTCTGCCTGTGTTCTCCCCCACAACCCGTGTCTCCCACACACTGGCTCCACTGCACTGGATCTGGAGTCTGCACTGGATAGTTGCCCACAAAGAGACAGAGATTGCCAGCCACTTCAAATCCTGGCTTCCCCGTTTTCCCGTCATGCTTTTAAGCCAGGAGATAACAAGAGGAAGCCACAGCTCTGGTGGTTTGAGATGAGATACTCAAGAGCATGCGGTCTTCCACCATCAACATTTTCTAGAGACGAAGCCGACTCAGTTTGAGTGGATTTCGCCTCTCTGGAGGAAATACAGATTCACTAATCCCTTCCACTGTAATCAAGCCTGGGAGGGAAGGGCTGCCAGGGGATCCGTTCCAGAATGTAGTCGGTGGGGAAAATGCAGAGCCCCTGCCATCTGAGTCGCTGCCAGCACACCACTTCCTGAGATCGTACATGAGGCCGTGACCGAAACTGTGGCTGTGGCCCTGCTAATCAGCCAGATTCAGGAGATGTTTCTCTGGGGTAGAATGACATTAAGAAGGCCCTGTCCCTGGGACATCTAAAGTCATCCTCACCTGAGCCTCTCATTCAGTCTCACTCAGGGCTCCTCAGCTCCTCTCCACCCAAGCAGGGCCAGAGGTGCCCCTTACCAAGCCCTTTCTGGGAGGGAACAGGGGTGATGATGGGAGGAACTGGGAGGACTATACCCCATTCCCCGTTTTCTACTCAGATTATCCCACAAGCTGGAGTGTGAAGCCCTGGGATAGATATACTGCCACCACAAGAGCAGAAAGTCACATGGCTGAGCTCAGTCAACTCTTAGCCACTACCATGTGTCAGATATTATGTTAAGAGCTGATAGGGATAAATTAGACATGGCTGGCCAGGCGCCGTGGCTCACGCCTGTAATCCTAGCAGTTTGGGAGGCCAAGGTGAGCAGATCTCCTGAGGTCAGGAGTTCAAGACCAGCCTGGCTAACACGGTGAAACCCTATCTCTACTGAAAATACAAAAAATTAGCCGGGCAAGATGGTGGGTGCCTGTAATCCCAGCTTGAGGGACTGGGGAGATAGGGTGGTGAAGATAGCAAAGGCTTCTCAAGCTTCAGTATCTGTGATTAGGTTGAGTTGCATGAAATTGCTGATAGTCTATTGGTAATGACCTACAATAACCTGGACTTCAGATGGTTCAATGTCATACTTCCTGGGAAGTGGGAAAACACACCTTGCAGAGAAAAACCCAGGCCAAAGAAGTTCAGTGTCTGTCAGCAACTGGTAAACTTATATTAAGTTTACCTCTTAATAATGTATTGATGGAGATTGTCTAGGGATGACATTTTCTACTTTCTTAAAAGAGGACTAGGCTGGGTGTGGTGGCTCACGCCTGTAATCCCAGTACTTTGGGAGGCCAAGGCAAGAGGATCAGGCGAGGTCAGGAGTTTGAGACCAGCCTGGTCAACATGACGAAACGTCATCTCTACTAAAAATGCAAAAATTAGCTGGGCGTGGCGGCAGGCACCTGTAATCCCAGCTAGTCAGAAGGCCAAGACACGAGAATCGCTTGAACCTGAGAGGCAGAGGTTGCAGTGAGCCGAGATCGTGCCACTGCACTCCAGCCTGAGTGACAAAGTGAGACTCTATCTAAAAAAAAAAAAAGAAGCCGAGTCTGGTGTTAGAAGTTTGTCTATTACCCAAAGACCAGTTATATTAGTCTGTTCTCATGCTGCTAATAAAGGCATACCCCAAACTGGGTAATTTATAAAGGAACAACTCACATTTCTACATGGCTCAGGGGGCCTCACAATCATGGTGGAAGGCAAAGGGGTAGCAAGACACGTCTTATATGGCAGCAGGCAAGAGAGCTTATGTAGGGGAGCTCCCCTTTATAAAACCATCAGGTTTCCTGAGAGTTATTCACTGTCATGAGACTAGCACATGAAAAACCCGCCCTCGTAATTCAGTTACCTCCCACCGGGGCCCTCCCATGACATGTAGGGATTACTACAGCTCAAGGTAAGATGTAGGTAGAGCCAAACCATATCACCAGTCCAGGGTAGACTTTGCACTTCACAACTGGACTGAATTTACAAGTCACAGGAAGGCAGTATTGTACCCCGAGTCTGAAATATTTGAGTCTCCGTTCCAACACCACTGCAGATGAGCTGTGTGATCAGCTTCATAACTTCTGAGGCTGGCTTTTCTCACCTGGAAGATGATGGCAAAAATAATACTTCCTTTCTTCACAAGGTGGTTGAAATGCTGAAATGAGATAGTGCCTATACATTGCTTAGCGCAATGCTGGCCTTTAGGAAGCACCCGGTAGCTGTTTGCAGGGTCATCATTTATGTCAAGAGCCCAGTAAACACTGAGGGATGACCCCATGCCCACAAGTCATAAAGGGAGTTGCATCTTTTCGTCTTAAGGCCATAGCGTGTTTTGATGGAGGCAGCAGGACCGTGGCCTAGTTTAGCCTGGGTTTTAGTCATAAATAGAGGAGGTAGAAAGAAGACATAAGAAAACATGTGATGCTTGAGTTTCTCGGGTCAGAAGGACAAGAAGCTCCACATGATCCCATTCAGCCGTTTAGTTGCTTTCAGCCTCAGAGCAAACCTGCTGAGGAATTTCATATCCCCAGTCTCTCCTGGCAGGCATGCCTGGCTGTGAGGTAGATTTTTTGAGCACAAGCGTTTCTGCAGGCTACCAAGTCAACCTCCCTGGAGTGGTTCCCAGGAAAGCAGTGGTGATAGCAGCAGCTGCAGGCTTGCTTGGGCACCAGAGGCTCTGGGCAAAACAGGAGCCCAGCTTTCCTGGAAGAGAAACCCTAGTCACTCAGAGGAGGATCTGAAACCAGAGAGGTAAGGCAGCTGAAGCATGTGTCCCAACCGGGCACCTGGGCGGGACTCCTCTCTGCTGCCCCAGGCGGGCATGGGCACTTACTCTCTTGGTTCCTGAAGGATTATCTTGCTGGGGATGACGACAATGCCCACCCTTAGGAAGACTGGCTCGTGTGTTTTAAAATAACCGTTGATATGCATTTGTAAACATGTAGCATTCTGAAGTCAGGAGGGTTTGTGATGGGCACTGCTCGGATGAGAAGCGCGTGTGAGGGAGCGGTCTCCGGCAGCCCCTCCTGACTGCTGCCTGTCCTTGGTGAACCTCAGGGAGGCAGGGTGTGCAGGGGCTGGCCCTGTCTTATGGTTCCTCCTGGGGCTGACTCAGCAGGCCTCTGCCGCTGCTTTTCTCTTCATCTTCCCTCCCCTCCCCTCCCCTCTCCTCCCCTCTAACAGGAATTGGTGGAGCTGAGGGCAGGAACACGTTTTGAATGCCCTGGGACAGTGCCTTGGGAAAAGTAAGACTTGTAAAAGCCCAGAGCAGTTGCTCTGCAGCCCTAAAAATTTTCCCTGCAGCTTCAATTTTTATTTAAGTCGCCATTTCCATTCCTGCTGACAAGTCAGAAAATGGCTCTGACCCGGAGCAACTGCAGAGACAGCGGGTGGCCCAGGCCATGGCCTGGGTCAGGGACACCTTGGAGCTCATCCCAGAGGCCTGGGGACCTTGGTTCCTCCCTCCCTGACAGAGGCAGGCATGGGCCAGAAATCCTGCCACACCACAGAGTGGAGCTTCAGGCCTCAGCACGTGAGGGGTCTTCTCTTTCATTCCCCGTCATCTGCACGCTCCCCCCACAACTGCTGCCCCTCTCCTCACCCCATTCAGGGAAGCTCTGCAGACTTTTCCCTCTAACTTCAAAGACGGCATCGGCAGCCACTTGGTCCCACCATGACTGTCCTGGAGGCACAGAACCTCTAGGAGAGATTAGTTCTGCAGGAGCTGAGAGAGGGTCCGGCCCACATTGGGCTCTCCTCATTCAGAAATGACTGAATGTGCAGGCCCAACTCAAGGCCTCGAACAATAGGGGAGAGTATGGGAGGGGAGCGCAGCAGGGGGTACGGTGAGGTCAGACACCTTTTCCTATGGTGTTCAGGCACTGTCTGTGCTGGCAGCAGCCCCAGGAGGTGATATTTGGGTTAAAAACTGGAAAGTAGGCAGGATAAGGGCAGTGTATTTGCAGAAGACCAGGAGGTAGAAATTGTAACCACTTTGGCATCTAGGCAAAAACAGGAAGTGACACAAGATGAGCCTGGAAAGTGGATGGGAGCAAGATCAGAAACAGACTCATGGTTGGGCGAAATGGCTCACGCCTGTAATCCCAGCACTTTGGAAGGCCAAGGTCAGAGGATTGCTTGAGGCCAGGAGTTCGAAACCAGCCTGGGCAACATAGCAAGACCCCATCTCTAAAAAAAAAAAAAGTTCTGAATTAGTGAGGTGTGGTGGCACATACCAGTAGTCCTAGCTACTCAGGAGGCTGAGGTGGCAGGATTGCTTGAGCTAAGGATTTGAAGCTACAGTGAGCTATGACTGAGCCACTTGTACTCCAGCCTGGGTGATAAAGCAAGACCCTGTCTCTAAAAAGGGAGAAAAAGAAAGAAAAGAAATGGTCTCATATGCAGTGGTGTGCTGGTCAATGTCGGCGAGGCTGTGGGCAGGGTTCAGGGGGAGGTGAGTGCTCATATGTAATGTGTGTGCCAGTTTCCGTGGTGTAAATATTAGAATACCTCCCATCGTTGTTGATTTCACTCCACCAATGGTTTAATACCCAGCTCACCACAACTCCTGCAAACTTAACAATCAACTTGCAAGCTGATAAGGGTTGGCTCGAACAGGCTGCATCTTATGTCACGTGTTACCTTTTCCCTTACCTCCTTGTCACAACGTACCTCAGCAGTCCTTGGCAGGAGGGGAACCACATGAATGAAGTCACTTCAGGCTGCTGCTACAAGTGTCTCGGTCTCAATCACCTCCACCCTGCCCATGGCTGTTCCTTCTTTCTGTCCCTGATGGATGCAGGCATGGACATTTTTCCCGGAGTTTCATAAAAACCACTCACATAAGGCGTTTATAGTGTAGCCAACTTATAAACACAAAGAAGGTTCACATCACAGCAATGCTAATCACATCCAACGAAATATTAAACCACCCTATTAAATTTTTCCTTGGCCATTGACACAATCCTGGACTTTCATCTCCTGCCGTATTGCTTTTTCCTCCATGCTCTCCAACGTTGATTGAGCCTTTTCCCCTTGACACGCCCCTCAAAATACTTCCAGTCAATCATGGAGAGCAATGCAGCCCTCCCTAGCCACCCCACCCAGTCCTGTGTCCCCCCTCTCCAACCCTGATTTACCCATCTTCCCTTGACTCCCCTCAAAATACTGCTAGTTTACCATGGAGAGAATGTGGTCCCCAGCCACCTCCACCCGGTACACAGTCCTGCATTGTTCATGTCATATTCAAGGTGCCACAGATCTGAAGAATTCCTGGGCATGCAGAGGAATACTGACTACTGTTTACACCTGGCTTAATGCTCATTTTTTAATCTTACGAATTTTTAACAATCATCACTCCTTAAACTACAAACATTGCTCTAAATATCCACAGACTACATAGCTAGTACATCAAACATGCATTTCACACAAGGTCCCACTTCGCACCTGTTAGAATGGCCAAAATTCAAAACACCAAACACTGGCAAGGATGAGGAGCGACAGGAACTCTCTCCTTCATTGCTGGTGGGAATGCAAAATGGCACAGCCACATTGGGAGACACTTTGGCAGTTTCTATAAAACTAAACATGCTCTCTCTGCATGACCCACAATCACACCTCTTGGTATTTACCCAAACGAATTGCAAATTCATGTCCCTTTAAAAAAATAAACTGCACACAGATGTTTACAGCAGTTTTATTCATAATTGCCAAAACTTGGAATCGGCCAAGATGTCCTTCAGTAAATGAATGGATAAGCTGTGGTACACCCAGACAATGGAATATTATTCAGTGATCAAAACAAACAAGCTATCTAGCCATGAAAAGACATGGAGAGAACTGAAATGTGCATCGCTAAGTAACAGAAGCCAATCAGCAAAGCCCATCTACTGTATGATTCCAACAATATTTATTCTGGAAAAGGCAAAACTATGGAGACGGTAAAAAGAACAGTGGTTGCAGGGACTAGGGGTGAGGGAAGGATGAATAGATGGAGCACAGAGGATTTTTAGGGCAGTGAAAATATTCTGTGTGATACTATGATAGTGGATATATGTGATTATTCATTTTTCCAAACCCACAGAATATACAACAGCAAGAGTGAGTGCTAATATAGCTATGGACCCTGGGTGATGATGCTGTGTCAGTATAGGTCCCACTGTGATTTGGGAAGTTGATGGTGGGGGAGACTGTGTGTGAGGGCAGGGCACATACGGGAATTCTCTGTACTTTGTGCTCAATTTTGCTGTGAACCTAACATTGCTCTAAAAAGTAAAGTATATTAAAAAGCAAAATCATGACCAGGTGTGGCGGTTCACCCTTGTAATGCCAGTACTTTGGGAGGCTGAGTCAGGAGGATTCCTTGAGCCCAGAAGTTTGAGACCAGCCTAGGTAATATAAAAAAAACCTCATCTCTTTTTTATTTTTATTTATCTGTTTATTTATTTTGAGACAGAGTATTGCTGTGTTGCCCAGGCTGGTGTGCAGTTGTGCAATTTCAGCTCACTGCAACCTTCGCCTTCCAGGTTCAAGCAATTCTCGTGCCTCAGCCTCCTGAGTGTCTGGGACTACAGACGTGGACCACCATGCCCAGCTAATTTTTGTATTTTTAGTAGAGACAGGGTTTTGCCATGTTGGGCAGGCTGGTCTCAAACTCCTGGCCTCAAGTGATCCACCCAACTTGGCCTCCCAAAGTGCTGGGATTACAGGCGTGAGCCACCGTGCCCGGCCAAGACTTCACCTCTTAAAAGAACAAAATCAAACAATAAGCCAGGTATGATGACACAAGCCTGTGGTCCCAGCTGCTCAGGAGATTGAGATGGCAGGATCACTTGAGCCCAGGTGGTCGAGGCTGCAGTGAACCATGATACCACTGTACTCCGGCCTGGGTGACAGAGTGAGACCCTGTCCCTTTAAAAAAAAAAAAAAAAATCATGAATTTAGCAAATTGGATTTTCCCAAATATTTAGCTTGATCAAAAACTTAAGCAAACACCTCCAACCAAACATTTAATTAAATTCATAAAGTGCAGCTCCTCTTAGATACTGTAAAGGTGTTAAATATATAAAACTCAAAAACAGTCATGATTCCAAACTGTTTCATACCCTTACACCAAAGCCTGCTATAAACGTGTTAATACAGCGGCTTCACTCAGTTTCTTATCCCAAGTCCCACACCTTCCTAGGGTGCCAATTTTGACACCTTCCTAGGATTTCAGTGATGTTTTACCAAGTACTATTTTTACCTTCCTAGGGTTTTTAACAACCTTACCAGACCAGGAGAAGAAGAAAAAGAATAACCTCAAGCTGCTGGGGTTGCAGAGTCTGGGTGGTTGATCAGTGGATTCTGGATCAGGATATGAGGCTGGGTTGCAAAGTCCCAGAAGATTCAAATAAGGGGAGCTCCCTTTTTATCATTCAACTTTGTTACTTCAACAAGACTTTTGTAAGCCCGCACCTTTTGGAAAGGTGTTTGAGTTTTGCAACATTGAATCTTCCCCCTGGAAGGAGATGAGTTCACATCTCACTTGGCCAGCATTCCACAGCCCATTGCCCTGTCATCGTGATATATTGGTGACCTGGGCTGTTAGATTATTTAAAACACGTGTGTCTTCGTTGGTGTTGTATAATAGCTTGTAGGGGCCATCGTGAAGTTTCATCAGCTGAGGGAGGGACATGGAGTCCATGCAAGTTTGTGCTCGTCTCCAGGCCCCCTGGGAACACGCTCGGGACCCCTCTTCACCCAGTGGTCAT